CTCCTGCGATAGAGGTAGATAGAACTTAGAATTAATCTTGCTTATAACTGCTTCCAAAGCTACTTGACCAATAGCCATCTTATTAATTAAGCTTAAGGTACTGTAGCCTTTGGAGAAGTTAAAAGAGATAAGGAGATAAAAGATGTTAGAAACCTAGCTACCCTAATAATAACCCTAGAAATAACCCTAATAACCCTAGCAATAACCCTAATAACCCTAGCATTAACCCTAGCAACAACCCTAGCAATAACCCTAGAGAATTGCATCCTTGATTGACAACGTAATTTCTATTCCACTGACCTGCAACTTAAATAGCATTGAATATGTTTGGTAGAGAGCCAGCATGCATGATTTCATCCACATCTAACCACTCCTTGCGCTGACCGGGACTTTGGGACGATAATACTGTAACGGGTTAGCGCTGCTGTAGAAAATATACGCTAACCTAATACGGTATTATCGTCCCATAGAACCCTCCATTGTTTAAACCACAATATCTCCACCACTACATGGGCTATGGGAATATGGAATATATCAGTTTAATGCCCAGAGGCTGCTCTATCATCTCATGCTAAAATATGTAGATGTTTCTGTATCTGTGGTGTTGGTCTTAGCCTGTCAATGTGGTACTAGAGTTTGGTAGAGAGCCAGCATGCATGATTTCATCCACATCTAACCACTCCTTGCGCTGACCGGGACTTTGGGACGATAATACTGTAACGGGTTAGCGCTGCTGTAGAAAATATACGCTAACCTAATACGGTATTATCGTCCCATAGAACCCTCCATTGTTTAAACCACAATATCTCCACCACTACATGGGCTATGGGAATATGGAATATATCAGTTTAATGCCCAGAGGCTGCTCTATCATCTCATGCTAAAATATGTAGATGTTTCTGTATCTGTGGTGTTGGTCTTAGCCTGTCAATGTGGTACTAGAGTTTGGTAGAGAGCCAGCATGCATGATTTCATCCACATCTAACCACTCCTTGCGCTGACCGGGACTTTGGGACGATAATACTGTAACGGGTTAGCGCTGCTGTAGAAAATATACGCTAACCTAATACGGTATTATCGTCCCATAGAACCCTCCATTGTTTAAACCACAATATCTCCACCACTACATGGGCTATGGGAATATGGAATATATCAGTTTAATGCCCAGAGGCTGCTCTATCATCTCATGCTAAAATATGTAGATGTTTCTGTATCTGTGGTGTTGGTCTTAGCCTGTCAATGTGGTACTAGATTCTGTTAAACCATAACCCTAACCCTGAAAACCTGGGGTTTCCGTCTCCGCCTCCGCTTCCGCGACGTATTTCCCGGACGCAAACCCCGATATCCAACGCGATATTCAACGGGTGTGCCCCAACCGGTATATACGATCCTCTCCATCATATTCTGTTTAACCATAACCCTAACCCTGAAAACCTGGGGTTTCCGTTTCCGTTTCCGCTTCCGTTTCCGCTTCCGTTTCCGTGACGTATTTCCCGGACGCAAACCCCTAATCCAACGCGATATTCAACGGGCGTGCCCCAACCGCTATATACGATCCTCTCCGTTTCCGGTTCCGCCTTCGCCTCCGCTTCCGTGACGTATTTCCCGGTCGCAAACCCCTAATCCAACGCGATATTCAACGGGCGTGCCCCAACCGGTATATACGATCCTCTCTATCATATTCTGTTTAACCCTGACCCTATTACCTTCAACCGGCATGTCCAGCGCGTTTGACTTTTAAATGCTTTCATCCCACTGGTTTGGGTCCAACGGGTTAACGCGTTTGTTCAACCGGTTCGACTTCCAATCGTTTCAACGTCGGCTTTGACTTCCAACTGCTTTGATGTTCAACGCCTTCAAACATCCAACGGGTTAATGCGTTCATCCAACCCCCCAGCCTCTACTCTCACTCTTTGTAACCCTAACCCTGACCTATTATTGTATGGGATAATGCTCTTTAAAACTCCAATATTTTTGAACCTGATCTAGCTATATTATATCTCTTTACCCCTCTTTCTTTTTGCTCCTTTTCCTCTTGCTTCATCGATCTTTATATATGCATATATCCTTTTATCTCTAATGTGGTGCTCGTCAACATCTGGCCTCTCACCTGGTGATGTCATTTTGACCTCTATGCCCCTGACTCGAATCTTTCCGAGCCCTACTACCTTCTGAAATAATCGTCCAGCGGGGTTCCAACTTCCAAACGGATGAATGGGTTTCATCCAACGGAATTCGACCTCCCACGGGTAATGGCCCTCCCTGGGGAACGGGTTTG